TTGTATTAAAAATGGTTAGTTTTCTTCTTCTTTTTTTACAAATAGATTTAAGGTGAATCATTTGTACAAAATATGATCAATTTATCTTTAAAAAAAAAAACTTACAAAAATTTTTCTTCTCTTAACGAGAAACATTTTTCTAAGTAATTTATTATCTGTATTTTATAATCTTCTTTCCTCTTATGCAATGATAATGTTTATGTTAACGAGTGTAACGATGTTCATTAGCATTTAGAAATAATGTTTTTGTTATTTTTAATATTTGTGAAAGAAAAAAAAAAAGAAGAAGAAAAGTGGAAAGAATGAAATGATACACACCATTTGATGAGATCAATTAGAGTGATTATATGATCTAATTTCGACATTTGGTTAATAATTTCATTTATTTTTCAACGTTTAATGTAAACATCTTCGTATTTTTTTTTGAGAAAAAAAACAACAACACAGTAACGGAAAAAATGTTTAATTTAATTATACATACATACGTCGAGAGTGAAATGTTATTGTTGATATATTCATTTTTATTTTTACCTTAATTGAGTTTATTATCTGACAAGTTAAAAACATCTTCTCATTTTCTTTTTCTATTCTTAAAATGTGTTTGTCCATCTGTACTCCTCCCTCTTCTTGGTCATTTATATATGGCAATAATGACACTTCATTATTAACGTATATATTTAAATGTAGTGTATTTATCACATCTAACTTTAACTAATTACATGAACGGATGGAAAGACACATTATAATAACACTAGTGTATATATATATTGAGAGAAAAAAATAAAAACAAAAAAATTGTATATATAATCTATCAATAAATGTTTCATATTTTTCAATGAATATATGAAAATTATCTTCCATATGTTAGAATAATTATAATTCATATGATTCAATTCTATAAAACAAAAATATTTTATTAATAAAATGATTTAAAATCAAAAACAAAAAAACTTCTTGACTTCATTTTTATTTATTTTTTTCATTTTTTTCATTTTTTTTCTAGGTAAATCGACCAATGTCAATGAAAAAAGAAAATATTCAAACACGTAATCGTAAACCAAATTCAAAACGTAAAGATAAAGATCAATTTCCCTATTTACTAATGAAAAGTGAACCACTTGGTAGTTATCATCATCATCATCATCATCATCATTCTCATTCAACTACGCCTTATTCATCATCAGCTGCCATGTCTGCACTTAACAGTTTACGTCCGTTTGCTGCCGCTGCTGCAGCAGCCGCCAATTTTTCAACATCATCTTTTATTTCACCATCAAAACAGTATTTAACAAATGATAATTATTTATCAAACAATCCATATCTTAGAAATACATCATTTCTTGGCACTTGAATTTATTTATCATTCATTGAAAATAATTCTTGTTGTTATTGAAATAAATAAATAAAAAAAATAAAATAAAATAAAAAAGAAATTTATTTTTATAAAAAAGAAAAAAAAATTTATTTACTGTTTTCTATTTTCTGACAAATAACATCATTAATGAGGATATTTAATGTCTAGAAAATTATGTAAATTATTTCGTTGTTGTTCAGTTATTATGAACATCTTGATGAATATCGAAAAATAATTATTCTCTCGTTTTGTTTTTTGTTTTTCGTTTCTTCTTTGTTTGTTTTATATTCCAAAACAATATTTCTTTTTCTTTTTTTTTCATTTTTCATTTTTTTCTTGTTTTGTTTGATTTGAGCTTTATTTTCTGTTCTCTTCGCCGTTTTTCTTTTTTTTCATTCGTTGTTCTATGTCTTTAATACAATAAACTATTATCATTCTCACCAATATTTATGATGATTTTTTAGATATAGATGAAGATAAATTAAAGACAAAAACAATGTCCTTGACTCTCTCTCTCTGTCTCTCTATTTAGAATATTTAATATGAATAATGATTGTTGAATCGTCAAGTAGAGAATAATGATAATTTCATGTGTATATCAATCGATGTTTGACAAAGTTAACTAAAAATTGTATTTAACAAATGATGATTTTTAAATCATAACTGATATTATTCAATGAATCATTTTCATTTCATAATCAATTGTATTTTGCTTGAAAAATGGTGTGAATATGATAAATTGATAAAAATGGCTAAGAAGATCGACATTATTCTTTTTTTTAAAACATCCGATTTTTCAAATAAGAAACAAAACTTTTCAAAAAAAAAAAAAGAAAAGTTTTTTTGTTTTTCATTGAAAGAAAGAAAAAAAAAATGAGATAAATATCCGATCTAATCGATCATACACCAGTTAGTCGTAATGAAATATACCTTTTAAGAAGAAAAAAAAAAAGTATAATAAATTTATCGATGTATAATATTATTCAAAAATATAAGACAAAGATAAATGAGATGTTTCCAATGCGGAAACATCGACATATGTTAGGTTTTTTTATGTTTTCTTCTTCTGATACGTTTGTCATATGAATAGTTTCAACGGGGACAATAACTTATTGTAAAACAATTAAAAATGTCTCTGAAATAGTATTGTCAGTTAGATTATAAAATAATTGTTCACATTTTTTTTTGTTTTGTTTTTGTTTGTTTGTAGAGAGAGAGAGAGAGAGAGGAAGAGACAGTGTGGAAGTATAATCTCATCATGATTAATTTGCACACCTTTAACAATAGATAAAAAAAAGAGAAATGAAGTTTGTATTAGTGAATGATCACTATGTAGCCATTTTTTTTTTTTGTTAAGTTTGTGTGTTGGATGTACCCTCTAGTTCTATTTTAGATTTGAAGCATCTCTTTCGTTTTTCGACAAAGTCACATTGGTGATATATTAGATTCGTATCATCATAATTCAAGCTGTCGTTTATAAGTTCTTCTTTTTTATTTTTGTACTACATTCTCCTCCTCTATTTCGGCTATTTTCAATATCCGTTAGCTATACATAATCTTTATAGATCATCTTCGCATAATTGGTAATGAATGAATGTCTTAGGTATATAATAAAATGTTCGCCCCGAAGGTCTGTTGTGTATTGTTGTTGTTCTCCGTTATGTCTAATGAATAAAAAAACAGATAGATAGTTTTTTTCCATCAACATATGGGTATCATCTTTAAAAAGTTCTTTTATTTTTTTGTTTTTATTCATTCATTTACTCAATGGATCTTTTTCTCTCTCTTTCTCTCTATAGATACAGATACAGGAATCGATCGCCTAATTTAACTCTATCTTAAAACTCATTAGCGGTTACAACAAAAAATTTAAATAAAATATTATTAATCAACTTGACTCTAGTACTACTCATCAAAGTAATGTAAATATTTGAAATATGTCATCAACGAGACGATTTAAAACATATTTAATGATTATTTTTCATGATCTAAATGATTTTAGTATTTTTAATTATGTCGAAGTAAGCTTTTATTTCGAGCAACGATTGTCGTCATCCATCGAATTTTACAATTTTTAGTTGTGATAATTCAACGTTTGTTTGAATGTCATTTCAACAGTTTGATAATTATAGTTTAATGAAAAAATCGTAAAGAAAATTTGACATGTTTATATTGAACTATTGTGGAAAACAACAAAAAAAAAAATATATCGAACAATCTTGTCGTTAGTTCGTCGTTAAATAACACATAGAGAGAACCGACAAACAACTCTATGATTTTTATTGGCACTGTATACTAATTAAGGTAGAAACACGAATGTGATTTTCATTACGTACGTGTTAAAAATTTGTGAAGTAATAATCGATTTGTTTGATGAAAAAATTTAGTATTATATCATTGATGATATGTTTTGTCTGCGATTGTTCTTTCTCGCCTATTCTCTCTCTTTCTTTCTCTCCTATCATTATCAACATTCATCAATCTCGATCGCAGTAAAAAAAAAAGTAATAGCACAACGGGTTTCCTCTTTTTTGTTGTATGTATGTGTATGGTACAACTCTTTTTTTTTATTTCTCTATACACAGTTGGTATGATTTTCTGGCATTCTAGTGTCAGTTACATACACACATTCTCAAACGATTTATATTCCATTCGTTTTTGTCTTTTTGGGATGAGATCAAAGTATTATACGGTTTTACTGCTCATCTTCTCGAGTATCAAACAACAAGTTGGTAAATGAAATAATTTTTCATTTGACTTTTCATCTATATTTGATTGAAATGAATGTAAAAACATTTTATTTTATCGGCTGTTAAATTGGATAAGTGAGAAATTTTTATCCAACACAAAGACTTCTTCATTTTTAAAATATAAAAGGCATTACACTTTACTAAAAAGTTTTTGCCATCAAACGTTTTTCAGTTGATTTCAGAAGAAAAAGCACTTTCTCTTCAACAGACAGTCAATGTTAAAATTTACACAAAAATGAACCAAAAAAAAAAACGAATTACAAACCAGGGCTGGGAGAGTTCGAACTGAAGAATTTTTCTTGAGAATCGAAGTCGAACTTGAATTTTATGTACATCAGGTTTGATCGAATCAAGGATTTAAGAGAATAAATGAACAAAAACCATTTTTGTTTTCTTTGTGCTGAGCCACGGTTACATGTATCATGCAATTCGACGATAGCCTAGCCTACACTCACTCATTTAACATCAAGAATATTACTCGCTCTAAATATTGTAATTACTAGCACATTTTGTTTTAAATAAATATTAACAGTTTGCAGTTGAAATTATCAAACTTATTATTGGATAAGAGTAGTAAAATTTATGGTGGTTGTCTATAAAAAAAAAAAAGAATCTAAAACAATATCGGACTCAAACTCGATGTGGATTCGGCCATCCCTACTACACATTAAGTAGATTTTCTGACGAACAAATTCTCTTCGTCTTTTTCAACGTGTTAACATATAATTTTCCAATTTTCACACAGAGTAAATAAATTTATAGACTTTGAATTTCGGGATACATATCACATTTTAGAGATGTGTGTGTATATATAATTACAATTTAGAACGTTTGTTTTTTCTTCTCAACTATCTATCAATCCTTTTCCCTTCTGGTATATCTCGTTTTTTTTTTTATTTTTATTTATCTATTTTGAACACCTGCATTATGGATCTTCAAAAAATGCTCGAGGTTATTTGACTTGTTTATACAAACGTTCACACGCAACACACATCCGACCGACAGCAGACAGTATACTTCGATCAGTGACAAACTCATTTATCTTTGTCAACACTCTTTTTTCCTTGATGTTTCCTCTCTATACAACCGTCGTTTCACAGAAGCAATGGTTCATTGAATACGACAAAATTCTTCTTCTTGTTTCTTCACGCAGTTTATTTTGGATGAAGAAAAAAAAGTCATCTAAGCGATTGTTTTTAGAATGAATATGGCAAAAGCAAATATAATCCTAAAAAACAAACGAGCTTTTTTTTCTCTAGTATCAACGATGATTACACACAGTGTTCTTTTTTGTCATTTGCGTGACATACAGAATTGAAAAATTTTAATTTAGTTTACAATTTGAATTGTACTGAACTATTATTTAGAAACAGTTATTTACCTTAAAATGCAATAGTACACATACAAATGAAATGAAATTTCACTTGTTAATGACAAAGAAATTATGTTTTAGAAATATTTGATGTAAAAAATAGACTAAGAGTATCCGCTCTTTTCGAAAAAAACATCGATTTGTTTTACCATTAATAATCATAAATTGGCACGTGTTCAGTCACGTAGCTATAAAACTTTGCCATTGGGAGTCGCCATCTGTTAGGAAGACATTGGAATAGGGCGAAGTATATTGACAGTCTTCTTTAGTATATTGACATAGTTCGATGGGATAAAAGTGAATTGTGTAGCATAAAATAGATCGCAACTGCTAGTACGTGTGTCATACATGTTTTTGTATATGCCCCGTTGGATGTACAATGAGCGATTAACTTATGTTTTTGACTTTAACTAACAAATATAGAGGAAAATTCACTATTTTTTACTACCAGGCTTCATTGTGTCACGTTATGACCGCTTTTCATTCATTCGAGCTAAAAATTTATCGTACAATACTCAAGACGCTATCACAGTGATATCTCTTTAGATTTTTCCGTAGGCTTTTCTTTCAGGAGTTATAGGAGATTTAAATTGAAAATTTGATTTTAGCGAGGTTGTTCAGCATTTTCCCCCATAGCTCAATGACTAACGAAAAATACCGGTTGAGTGCGTCTGATTTTAGAGTTTTAGTTTGACTAGATGACATTCAAAGGAGGTTATAACTCGCTCAAAATGGAGTCTTCTAGAAATTCCCTAAACAATACGAGCTCGAGACTTGAAACAAGAACATGCTCCGTTTAGTTTCCAAACAATTCCAGACGGATGATATTTCCATGACTTCTAGTCTTATTAATTCCTAAGAATATTCTAGAATTG